TAATAATAGTAATAATAATAATAATAATAATAATGATAATGATAATGATAATGATAATGATAATGATAATGATAATGATAATGATAATGATAATGATAATGATAATGATAATAATAATAATAATATTATTATTATTATTATTATTATTATTATTAATATTATCATAATTAATAGTAATAGTGATAATGAAAATCATCATCATAATGATAATGATGGTGATAATAATGATTATTATTATGCAAATAATAATAATAATTGTAATGATAATAATAATAATAACAACAACAATAATAATAATTATAGTAATAATGATAACAATAATAGTAATAATGATAATAACATTGATCAGAAAAAGAACAGTAATAATGATATAATGATATAATTACTATTAGATAGATACTATAGATAACATAAATCCTTATTACGATAATAGTAATAATAATAATAATGATAATGACAGTGGTAATAATCATTGTAAGTTGGATAATAATTATCATAATGATGATAACAATAATAATCATGCTAATAACAAGAATAATGATAATATTATGATCATCATCACTATCACAATAATGAAGATAATAATATTAATCATAATAATAAAAATTACAACAACAACTAATAACAATAATAATAATAGTAATGATAATAATAAAATAAATAATAATATTAATAATAACAATAATAAAAACAATGATAATGTTAATAACAACAATAACAAAAGCAATAATAATAATAACTAAAAAAATGATGATAAAAGTAGAAGATCAAAATAAATAGATAAAGAAAAATACATAATCGATGTTCAGAAAAATGAAAGTAACTTTGCAACACTATTCAAGAAGCGAATAATGCAGCGGCAAATGAAAGCCTTGAGGCCAGGAGTTGAATTAATCATTCTTGGTTTCGCATTAGGGACTGTATTTCATGCAACATTTGGCAAAGTTTTCATCATTACCGCCAGTGTTATTAGTTGGTATGAAAGCCATTGTTATTTCTCTCAGTACACGTAGATGCAGTAAGAGCTGTGTTAGCGAGAGGTTGTAGTTATTATGGTGACGAAGGTCGTCGTCATAATTGTTATTATTGCTGTGCTTGTGTTATTCTTGCATGACGATTATTGTCGTATTATCATTTTGTTTCTATTTGTTTTTTCTTCTTCATCTTGTTATTTCATCATTTTGTCTGATCTTCTTTAAAGTTGCTCTTGCTATCATCATTTCTGTTATCATCATAATTATCATCACTATTTTTACCATCATAATCATTATCATTATTGTCAGTGTTATTATCATTATCATCTTTGTTAACATTGATACTTTTTATCGCTATTCTTATTCTTATCATATTATTATGTTAGCATTACTGTTATCATCATTATCAAACGATTCCTCATACTTCCTTATATGCAGAAATAAATAGAATAATCATTCGTCTCATACGTACCTCATATGTAGAGCGGCAGTAGATTGGAATGGAGTGCTTTCTGAGGAGTTTGCTATTCTTAACGAGCTGAGACAGGAGATAATGAGGCTACCACTCTTCTCGGTGTCCATAGAGCCTCTGCTGGGAGGATTAAATGAGGCTAAATTGGGTTGTTATATGGACAGCGTAGGTTCAAATACATTTGCATATGCTGATGATGCTGCCATGCTCTCTCCATTTGTAGTCCATTAAAAATATTAATTGTTATGGATCAGCTTTGTGGAGTTAAATTGGATTTGATGTTTAATCCAGTAAAGTGTTCCTTGTTAATTTTCTGACATGTAGATAAGTTCTAAAAGCGTAATCAGGACCAAGAAGTATTGGAAAGAAGAAAAAAATCTCTTTTTATCACTTTTGGTGATTTGGTTTATATAAAATATGCAGCTTGAAACGCTGAAATGAATTCCAATCCACAGCAATTCACCAAAAAATATCTAATAAATATCGTATGATTTTATATCGTTGGTCTGTGTGGAACTATATAAATGGAAATTAATTGTTAAAGGTTTGGCATATATATATCCGTACATGTCTATAAGTTACACCCAGAACCAAATCCTATATAATCCCAAATTTCATAGACACATTTTTATATATTGACAACAATTACCGAGAAAACAATTAACTTTATTATGACTGGCCTAAACCACCTATTCTAAGAAATAGCCATTTGATTTAAAATAGCCTCCTTTCATGTTCCACATCTACTACCAAACATTAAAATAATCCTAAGAAATTTTACAATCAAATATGATAATACATTATGTAGAAATAAAATAGAAAAATAAATGGTTAATAAAAATATAAGTGATGTAAATTGACATAAATAAATGGTTAGTAGAAGTATAAATAATGTAAATTGACATAAATAAAGACAAATTGATATAAATAAATGGTTAATAGAAGTATAAATAATGTAAATTGGCAGACACAGATCATCAAAACGAACGCATGACATCACTAATGAAACGAACTCAACGTTTTGGCTGTAGAGGAAGCAAAACGTTTTCATCAT